CTCCTGCTGGCGCCTCCGGTCTTCCCGGTACCCTGAGGCCAGGCGGGTCTGTGGACTCAACCAGAGCTTCTGGGGCTGGAAGGAAGATCCTGCAGCCTTCACTACGGGGTCTGGCCCAGGGGCTCCGCAGAGACTCCAAGAAACCTGGAAAGACAGTGTCCACGTGGTCAGTCATTCAGCATTCACCCCATAAATGCTTCCTGGGGGCACCAAAGTACAGTTTACAGCACTGGATACTGTGGAAGAGAAAAGTTCAGTAATCAACACCAAGTATTAGCATACAATATGGAAAAAAACTCATGAGATTTGGTGTAAAATGAATGAGAGTTTGAATTCCAGCTCTTTTGCATTCTAGCTGGAATCTGGGGAAGCCACTTTAGTCTGAGTTTCTTCACCTTAAAACTGAGGATGGGGGCTTCCCTGGTGGCACATTGGTTGGGAGTCTGCCTGCCGATGCAGGTGACACGGGTTCGTGCCCCAGTCCGGGAGGATTCCACATGCCGCGGAGTGGCTGGGCACGCAGGCCATGGCCACTGAGCCTGTGCGTCCGGAGCCTGTGCTCCGCAACAGGAGAGGCCACAGCAGTGAGAGGCTCACGTACCGCAAAACAAACAAACAAAAAACTGAGGATGAAAACACCCATCTCATAGGGCTGTTAGAGTTAAATGACATGATGCTTCAAAAGCACTCCTATTGGGCTTCCCTGGTGGCACAGTGGTTGGGAGTCCGCCTGCTGATGCAGGGGACGTGGGTTCGTGCCCCGGTCCGGGAAGATCCCACATGCCGCGGAGCGGCTGGGCCCGTGAGCCATGGCCGCTGGCCCTGTGCGTCCAGAGCCTGTGCTCCGCAACAGGAGAGGCCACAGCAGTGAGAGGCCTGAATGCCGCAAAAAAAAAAAAAAAAAAAAAAAAAAGCACTCCTATTTGGCATCAGGAACACACTCCATTGATATTAAATATTGCTGTTATTATAAGGTGCAAGGAATGTTTTATTCGGTACCTCATTTGATTTTCACACTCATCCTATGAACTAGGCATTACTTTTGCTATTATTCCCATTTACCATCAGATAGAGCTGTTCATAAATATTAAGAAATTTGCCCCAAGATCTCTTAGATTAGGGGGAAGGACAGGGATTCAAACCCAGGTCTGCCTAGCTCCAAAGTACATTTTCTTAACTACTGTGCCATATGGTATTCTATACGTGGAAGAATCACAATAAACATTATTTCTGTTTCTTGCTGCCTTTAAAGTGCTCTGGCTGAAGGATGACATGTCACATGTGATAAACCAAGCATCTGTATAATTCAGTGTACATTGTGGGCAACATATAGAGCCCACCCACCCTCTTCTGCCAAAGATGAAAACATAAACTCTTTGTCCCCTCTCTCCCAATTCCCATCTGGCCCTGAAAGTCAGCATGTCTGCACAGGCTCCTAAATCAGTAACCTACACTGCTTGACAAAAACTGTGTCCCAAATGGTGCCATCAACTGGTTTCCATAGGTTCCTCAAATAATCACGAACACAGGCAACACAACCTCAATAGAAGATCAACTATTAATCTGCTCAATGCCCCCTGGATCCGAACCTGACCTCCTATAGGACTCCATAACTCACAGCCCATATGTAGAGTCAATGACTCCCATAAACCCCTCAAATATAGACCTTCTGGTCCATCACATACTAACTCACACAGTCCTGCAATTACCGATGTCTACAGGTCCCAATCAATGACTCCCATAGGGCTCCTAAAACTGTCTCTCAAAGACTTAAAATCCCAGGCTTGCAATCAATCTTTCACCACCTCAGTGTCCCAATCAATAACTCTCATGGACTGACTGATGACTTCAGATACTTTAGATGACTTCAGACCTCCAACTCTTATAAAACCTCAAGAATTTCTACAGAGGTCTCAATCACTTACTAACATATGTCTCTAATTATGTTTCTTCAAGGATTTCCCAAGATTATCACTCACTGACCCAAAATGAATAGCATCTATAGGCCCTGGATTATCTAATCCTATTGGACTCTAACTCTGTGATGCCCCCCCACAGAAATCCTCCCAATCCCTTACTCCCAGAGGAACAAAATCAACCCCAAATTTGGTTTGGTATTGAATTTAAAGAATAAAAAGAAAATTTAAAATGCTTCCAGGCAGAAACAACATGTTATTTACAATGGAAAGGGATCACAATGGCACTAGATTTCTTTGCAACAATAGGAGCCATATTAGAAGAAAACATCTACAAATTATTGAAAGGGACTGCAATCCAAGAATTTTAAACCCACTCTAGCTGAATACCATGCTTCCGTTAGAGCAAAAGACAATTTTAGATATACAAGCACTTATAACATTATATGCCAATATTAGAATCTCAGGAGAATACTCAAGGAGATAGTCTAAGCAATTGTAAATTCAATAGTAACAGAAACCTCAAAATTGGAGGAAAGCAATTTTGAGAAATGATTATTGCAATTGATATATAGTTATAACTGAGTAAAGAAAAATGTATGTAATTGGGCATCTGGAACAAATAAGATTATTACTATTAATAAGTGGAAAAAAATTTAATACCCTGGGGAAATTTACTGAGTGCAATGAGGAGGAGGAAAATTATGCATCTCTTTTACTAGATCCAAATAATATTAAAACATTATTTGGATTTAGAAATAGAGAAAATATAGACAATCACATTTGTAAGGAAGGTGAAGGCAACTACTAGCAGAAATTGATAAAGATAAAACTCCAAACTATAATTCCAAAATAATAAGAAATTAAGAAATTAGAGGGGAATTAAGAGAAACATGACCAAACCAGCAAAAAAAAAAAAAAAAAAAGGAAAAGAGAAAGTGAGGAAATATCAACCACGTAAAATAAATAGTAAACATAAGATAATAGGAGGCATGAAATCAAATATATTAGAATTCAACTAAATTGAATGAGCTGAATTCTGATGTAAAAGATAAGGACTATGGGATTGGGTTAAAAAAATACAGTTGCCACACATCTAAAACAAAAAGACAAAGATGTGAAATGAAGCACTGGACAGAAGTATGCCATGTTATTTGCTACTCTTTCCATTATGGTCAGCATTAGTTATGCCTTGTTAGGAAATCGTTGCCTACCTCAGGGTCATAAAGATGTTTAATGTTTTCTTCTAAAAGTTTTACTGTTTTATCTTTCACATTTAGATCTATAGTCTTCCCAGGAAGGATTTGGTGTGTGGTATGTGTTAGGGTCAAGATTCATTTCTTCCATATTGGTGTCAAGATGATCCAGTACCACTTATTAAAAAGATTACCCTTTTTTCAGGTCGCCTTGTGACCATATATGTGGGAGTCCATTCCCAAACTCTGTATTTCCATTGGTCTATTTGTCTATACTTGGACCAGTACTACACTGTCTTAATTAATGTGCTTCATATTAAGCTTTGATATCTGGTAGAGTAAAAGATTATTAAGTTGCATTGCATTAAAAGTAAGGACCTCTGTTCATGAGAAGACAAAATTAAGAGCATAAAGGCAAATCCCACAGTGGGAGAAGATAATTGCAATACCTGTAACTGACAAACAACTCATATCTCAAATATATTAAGAATTCCTAGAAATCAATAAGAATGATAGAAGAAGAACACAAGGATCAGACACTTCACAAGGAAGATATCCAAATGGCAAATAAGCATAGGAAAAGATGCTCAAATTCATAAGTTAGCAAGAAAATATAAGCTACAGATACTCCTCCACATCCACCAGAAATGGCTTAAATGAAAAGGATTGATAATAACCAAGAGCTGGCAAGGTTGTAGAGCAACTGAAACTCATAAATTGTTTTTTAGGAGCATAAAATACTACAAACACTTTGGAAAACTGTTTGGTAGTATTTGTTAAAGCTGAACATATGCTTTATATCCTATGACCCAGCTATTCCATCGAAGCATTTACTCAAGAGAAATGTGAACATATGTTTACCAAAAGACAGGTATGATGATGGTCACAGTGGCTTTATTCAAAACTGAAAAGTATGCAAATGCCCATCAGCATTAGAATGGATAAACAACTTGTCCTTTATTAATACAAGGAATTAATACACAGCAACGAGAATCAACAACTGCTATACACAGCATGCACAAATCTCATCTCATGAACGTTATATTGGCCAAAGAAGCCAGACCTGAAAGAGCAATGAATCAATACTATATGATTACATTTCTATACATTTCAAAAACATGTAAAACTAATCCATATTGTTAAAAGTTAGGATATTGACACCCCCTTGGAAGGAAGTTAGTGATTGGAAAGGAACACAGGAGGGCTTCTTGAGTGTTAGGAATGTTTTATTTCTTGATCTAGGTGGCTGGTTGTGCAGGTTTGTTCAGTCTTTTAAAATATCATCAAGCTAAACATGCATAATGTGTGCACTTTTCTGTATTATAATTCAATAAAGATTTTAAAAATATATAATACCCCAGACAAATGCAAGAAAATGAAAGTAGGTCTAGAAATATAATTATTGAGGTGGAAATTAAGGTCCAAGGTGCTCAATAGATTAACAAAAAGGGCATCGCTTTTAATATAAAATATACAATAAAGAAGTGATAACTTGCATAAACCTTTAGGGTCATTCAACATATATAAATAAAACCAGCACAAATGCATGGAACCACGTGAAGTCTTAAAAATCATAATTATGGGGACTTCCTCTTCTGGAGATGAAGTAGGTATAATTTTATCTATTTTTCCTGCTAAATACAGCTGAAAACTCTGGTCATTATCTAGAAAACATAGGAAAACTCTGAAAGGTGGAATGAA